TTTTTTTTTTTTTCTCTCTATGTTCCGTTTGTTATGTTCGGTTCGTTCTATTCTTTGTATTTTGGTCCTTTGTTTTTTGCCTTCAGTTTTTTCTTCCCCTTTTGTTCTCTCCTGATCTAGAATGAGTCGATTGTTAAGCCTTGCTTGTGACCTATTAGGGGTTGTTTATTATTTTTTTTTTTTATTTTCGCTTCGTCACATTCCTTGGACATGTGCAGGTGGGGGACAGTTCTCTATGCACGTGCGAACTGGAGGTTGTATTAACTTGGGGGGAAAAATTGATTCCTTGTTCATAATTTTTTTTGCATGCTTGGCGGAAATGTTATGGTGGCGTTGGGGTGCTACCGAGGAGGCAAGAACGGTAAGTATACTTGCAGCGATGTGCTCATATTTGACGCTATGTTCTTCTATATTATATTACACCTTCCCCATAGGGAAGTGGCAAAATTTCCCGCCTCTCCTGTGCCGCCTCTGGGTTGACGAACAAAATTGCAGTAAGACTATTCCTAACGACCTGCACAATTTTGGGGCGTTGCAAAAAAAAAAAAAAAAAAAAAAAAAAAAGGCAGGGTAAAAGGGGGAAATAAAAAATTGGTTCTGTGTTTTATTTTATTTATTTTATTTTTTCCTTAAGGTATACATTGCAATTATGAAAACATGGAGGAAGAATCTTTACGCTATTTTTATTTTTGTACATATTTGTGAATCCCCCATGTGACAGTTGACATGTGTTGTGTAGAGTAGATGGGGAAGGGAGGGCCCTCAAAGTGTGCTACTTCGTAGGCATTCGCATGAAACGCGCGTTTGGTTACAGGTTGCGCCGCTACCAAGTTGCAACGCCGCCATTTTGTGACCCTACCCAATGGCCGTTTTACCACTTTCTCCTCCCCACAAACACACCTTCCCCGCAAAGGTACCTTTAGCACATTTCCTCAATCTGCCTAATTATGAAAAGGGCAAAAAAAATAAGAACAGCGAAAAGGGCCTTCCTTCGCACAAGACACTGTTCGCAACAGGTTGGTCGTGAGGCAGAGGGGGGGAAAAAAAAAGTAACAACGAGTCAACACAAAGCTATAAAGTGAAATAAGCGGACGTGAAATGGATACCAGTCCACCCAGCTGCGAAGAAATATAATTTAAATCCCCCACACACGGAAATGAAGTTAGCTCCTGTTAAAGCATCCTTCCCTTGGATGAAGAAAAAAGTGAGAACTGATCGAGGCAGACATGGCAACCCTATGTACCTAAACAACATACAACGGTTTTGCGAAAGAGCATATTTTCACTAAAGAGAATGTAGCCATTAGGAGGGTGAGGCGAATGGGATGATGAAGACACAAAGTGATGAATGTTTCCTTTTCCACGTAAGTAATCCAGTGTGTAACTAGGAACCGGGACCATAAAAGGAACGATCGGCACAGACCTTGCTATACACGTCCTTTCAACTTGATCACTCCCCATTTGGCATTTTTT